TATTAAAATGCTCTATGAAAGTTCCACAGAGAGGGAGTTCATTTTGGGTTAGAGTGAATAAAGAAGAGAGAAAATGACTTATTTGAAGAATAAGTAAGATTCAAGTAGATGAGGAGGAGGAGATTATTGGTGGACAGGTGGACATTTTCTACTTGGAAGAATAAGAATGCTCAAGAGCCTTGGAAATTTTCATTTTATTCTGCAGGCAAAGGCCAATTAGTGAAGGTTTCTGCCTGGGAGATTGACATGTAGTTTAGGTGAATTGCCACCAGCCTTGCAAAAAAGAACAAAACAGAAAACAAAATACTAGAGTATATCACCTGTAGAGAGGTTGAGTTTAGGAAACTCTCATTTCAGCTGCACACACATGGGTAAATATGTTGTAGGTGAGGGAGCAGATCTGGAAGTGGGTTTTACTGAAACAAGTTCCAACATCTCTAAACTAGAGCCCCTAATGCGATTCTTTTCTAGTGAGCCATTGTCTCTTTTCTCCATGCCAGAAATAGTTGTAATCCCACTAAGCAACTATATTATTTTTTATCATATCCCACCAGTTTGTCATATATAGGGACCAGATTGTGTTTTGTCAAAGACACACACACACACGCGCGCGCGTGTGCGCACAAGGAAGCAGATTGATTTTATTCAAACTATTACTATAGGGAGAGCACCTCAAATCCAGAGATCAAGCAGCTTGGCAGGGTAGTTTTACTTTAGAATTTTATAGAGAGAAGTAGAAAAGTTATAGGTGAGATGATTTATAGTTGGGATTGTTTTGCAATCAGGAGAAGTCTCATTCAAATATCTGTAAGGCAAATGTTTAGCTCTGTCTGGCAAGTTTCAGAAGGACAAACAGTTCAAATCTCAGCTAAATCATTCGTGAGACAAAGAACAGGGAGTTGAAAGGTCTGTGTCTGTTCTTGTCTGCAGCTTCAGGCAAAAAAGGAAAGGTCTGTATCTGTCAAAGGCTCAGGTAAACAAGGGAGCCTTCATGGGTCTTAGGGAAGTCAGGAGAAAGAGTGGACAGTGAGTCTTATCTATGTCTCAAGGGGAAAGGTAGTTCTTTTCCTTAAGACATTTCCTGGAAAATAAGAGTGGGGAGATTTCAGAAAATAAAAGGTTGGGGGAATTTCTGGACTATACCTGCTTTCCAGAAGCACAGAGCTCAGATAAAGTTCAGTGTTACCAGTTTTCTCCTCTGGGCTGACTTTAAAGAAAGAAAAGACCCAAATGTCTGGCCCATTTCCTCCAAGTAAGCAAACTTAAGAGCATGCCTCCAGCTAGTTCCTTGGATGATAACTGATGTTGGCTAGCATCGTTGAGGATATCATTCTGTAACAGGTAATTTCTTTTTAATCTGAGAATAAATGGTACTGGAATAGATCAATTAAAGTGAATTTACTTGAGCCAGGGCCAAATTTAATACAAAATAGCAAAAAATAAAAATTAAAAAAAAAAAACAACTTTGAATGAAACTTTATATTGAAACTTGAAACTAAAAATAATGAAAATAAAATTATGTTACTCATTTAATAAAATGCAGTTTGTAATTGCAACTCGAAGTTAGTTTTAGACAAAGAATGGATGAGATGTTGATTTGGGTGGGTTGGGGAGCATCACTTTTCTGATACATTTGCATCATAGCTCCACACAATACTCTTCTTGTTACTTGTGATTGTCATAGCACAATTCTATAGAGGATACCATTAGCAAAAAATATTCAAAGCATCATTAATTTTCTGAGATGTCTTTCACTTCTTTGGCATTCACTTCACACTATTTTGGGGTGCTTATGTGCCCATCTCTTCTTGATTGGATAGGTGGTCTAATTCTATTAAGCACTCATTTGTCAGTGGCTTTGCCTGAAGGATTCCAGTGACCCTAAATTTACCTTCCCTTACATCAGATTTTTATCTTTTGTGACATGTATGATGTCACCTTGTAATTGATTTGTGTGGAATGTATTGTGTTACTAGATATTTAAAACAAAGACATTGACCCAGTGTGTGGATTAAGTGAATACAAGTTGTATTGGTTTTGTAATAAATATTTTTCATGATGATGACCCTTATTGCTCTATCTAAATTTCTAATCATGAAGACTCCCAAGAAGAAGACTCCACAAGTCACCCTTCAGCATTTTAGATGCTTTATTTTATTTAATTCTCACTTCAACTCTGCGGGGCAGGTACTGTTATTATCCCCAATACACGAATGAGAGAATGGAGGCTGATATGGTTTGGCTGTGTCCCCACCCAAATCTCATCTTGAATTGCAGTGCCCATAATCCCCACGTGTTGTGGGAGGGACAAGGTGGAGGCAATAGAATCATGCGGCAGTTACCTCCATGCTGTTCACCTGATAGTGAGTGAGTTCTCACGAGATCTGATGGTTTTATAAGGGCCTTTCCCCCCAACTTCATTCTTCTTCATTCTTCTGGCCACCAAATGAAGAAGGACCTATTTGCTTCCCCTTCCACCAAAATTGTAAGTTTCCTGAGGCCTCCCCAGCCATGCTGAACTGTGAGTCAATTAGACCTCCTTCCTTTATAAATTACCCAGTTTTGGGCATGTTCTTATTAGTAGCATGAGAATAGACTAACACAGAGGCTTTGATAATTTGTATGATTTTTCCAAAGGCAGAATTACCCAATGGCAAAGCCAGGACATGAATCTAGGAGTGATTAATCACACATTTGTGCTCTTTGCTGAAATGGTATGCCAGCCTCCTTCTCCCTACCGAGTTCACCCATTTTTTTCCCTACCCTAATTTTTCCTTTTGCCTGGATGTCCTTATCTACTTATTAAAAATTAAGTTGTATCTTGTTAAATCTTTTTTAGCCAATTTAAGCCCTTTGTAGAAAGAAAGAGAAGTATATATGCTTTTTTTTTTTTTTTTTTTTTTTGAAGCCGTGTATCTTTTTCAAGGTTATCTGAAGAGAAAGTATGCTGGTTATACACACTCCAGATTCTGGAGTCCTATAAGCTGGAGATCAACTTCTGGCTCTCTGTCTTATTAGCTCAGTGACCTTTGGTAAAGTTAAAACTTCAATATCCTTGCTTGTGAAATAGTGGGGTTATTATTACTCATCTCATGGGATTAAGATTAAACACAATAATACCTCTAAAGTGCTTCGTGTTCTGCCTTTTTTTATGGAAGGCTCCTGATACGGTTTGAGTCTGTGCCCCCTCCCGAATCTCATGTTGAAATGTAATACCCAGTGTTGAAGGTGGGGCCTCGTGAGAGGTGATTGGATCATGGGGGCAGTTTCTCATGATTTAACACCATGCCCCTTGGTGCTATAGTCATGGCAGTGAGTTCTCATGAGATCTGGTTGTTTAAAACTGTGTAGCACCTCCCCTCCCCCTTCTCCCTCTTCCTCCTGCTTTGGCCATGTGAGATGCCTCACTACCCCTTTGCCTTCCACCATGATTGGAGGCTTTCTGAGACTTTCACAGAAGCAGAAGCCACTAGGCTTCCTATACAGCCTGCAGAACCATAAGCAACTTAAAACTTTTCTTTATAAATTACCCAGTCTCAGGTATTTCTTTATAACAGTGCAAGAATGAATTAATATAGCTCCTGATAAACATTTCCATTGTTTTTATGCTTACAGGCAAATAAGACAGTAAACAGTATAGTAAACTGGGAGAATCAGCCCTGCTTCATTCTCATTTCCACTACAGCTAAATAATTTCATTTTTATCAATTTTTAAGTCACCAAAAGGAGATAACTGTTTTTCCAGGTTGAGTGGATTCTTTTTTAATTTTTAATTTTTGTTTTTTGAGACAGAGTCTTGCTCTGTCACCCAGGCTGGAGTGCAGTAGCGCGATCTCGGATCACTGCAACCTCCGCCTCCCGTGTTCAAGTGCTTCTCCTGCCTCAGCCTCCTGTGTAGCTGGAGCTACAGGTGTGTGCCACCATGCCCAGCTATTTTTTTTTTCTTTTTTGTATTTTTAGTAGAGACGGGGTTTCACTGTATTAGTCAGGATGGTCTTGATCTCCTGACCTCGTGATCCACCCGCTTTGGACTCCCGAAGTGCTGGGATTACAGGTGTGAGCCACCGTGCCCAGCAAGTGGATTCTTTAAAATTTATGTTGAAGATGGAAAGAACCAAGATAGAAGTAACTGGGGTTCCAAGATTTTATTAAGTGCCACATCAGCCTTGAACTCACTACCTCCAGGCTTCCTGTCCTGGTAAGAGAAATACATTATTTTGTAGTTAAAGTAACGGCTATTTTGGTTTTCCTCTTTCTTTCAGCCAAACCCATTTTAAACTAACATAGTGGAAACAATTGTGAGCAGGAAAAAGATTTTATGGATTCCAATTATGTTTTGCAATCTGCAAGTAAGCATGATCTGGAATGTCTATTTACTGTGGCTTTTTGTTTCCTTGTTATTATAGGGTTGTATGTCTATGGGATAGAATAGTCTTTTAATTCATAGACAGCACTTATTTTATAGTCAAGAATTGATGGGGTTGGGGTTAAGCTAGGAAGCACAAATACAATTTTCTTTTTATGATTTTATCTTATTCTCTATGAATATATATAATTTCCTAATCATATATTTACACACACACATACACACAAATAAATATAAATTTTTGGTTCCCAAGTGTATCATTTCTCCAGTTATCAATTTTGTCTGAAATGTGGTAGGACCTGAACTACTAAGCACAATCATTGAAATTATGTATTTCTCTTATTGACAAATGTTATTACTTGCAATGAGGAAAAAAATGTACTGGGTTTTTAAAAATACTTCTACATATTTTTTTAAATGTTTGGGCTTTACCAAGAACTCATCAATTCTAATCCTCTTCCTTTCTATGTATAGTTGAATGAACAGACATGCACACACATGCCACAAAACAAAAACAAAGTTATCCTCACACACAGGATAGAAACCAAACCAAATCCCAACACACAGCAAGATGATAGGGAGGGAAAAGTACACAGTAGCCACAAAGAGCTTTTTTCTTTTTTTCTTCTTTTACCTTCATTACTGTCATCCGGAGTAGTGTAGATGGAAGCCAGGGTAAATAAGGAAAAGATAACAAAAGCCAATAAAATGAATGCCATTTCCAAGTTGGTGTAGGGAAGCTCCATGAACTGCCACCAAAAACTTCTTCACCTACAAGAGAAATACAGCATTGGCTCAGCATACTCTAATCCAGAGAGAGCTTGCTCAGCAATGATTTATTTTAGAATTCAACACGTGTGAGATTTACTGAAGCTTGTTAAAATGCTTCTGTGTACCTGGAACAATGTATTTGGCACTGGCAAAAATGAAGTGCGCTCTTGTTTTGAAATTTGGCATACAATTTCACTGTGTAGATTGGAAGAGAGCCTAGAAGTCTGAATGGCAGAGTCAATTTACCTTTACACACCTTTGTGAGTTTTTCGACACTACTCTGGGAATAAAGATAAGGTATGCTGACATGCAATGAGCACTTAAACAGGACCAGGCACTTGAAAGAGCTTGAGCTATTACCTCCTTTAATCCTCACAATAACTCTGTGAGATACCAGTATTGTCTCCATTTCATAAATGAAGGAACTGAAGCACTAAGCTGTAACTTACCTTAAGTTATAACTCTAGTATATGGCAGAGGTGAAATACCAACTCTGGCAATCTGGTTACAGAATCCTCACTCTTAGTCAATATACTATACTGACACTCGACTAACCAACTAACCAACCAACCAGCCAACCAATCCCAAACCCACCGTAATGGTTAGGATCATGTTTTGCAAAAGCGTTAAGTGGGTTGATTGGAGAGGAATTTTTATGCTAGGTAGTAGAAGATACAGTGGGTTAAGCCAAGGATATTGGAAAGAATTTAATGTCAAGATGAGAACTTAGTCTTTTTTCAAATGATATTAGAAGATGAATATAAGGTCCTTGGTAGTACAGAGACACGATGAAGCAGTATTTTGAGAATATTAATGGCATCTCCATGTACAGGAGAGAATGAAGGAAGAGACTGGTAACTGGAAAAAACTCAGAGTGAGTTTTAGCTCTGTGTTAGGATTTCAGCAGGAAGGAGAGAGAGGAAGGGATAAAACTAAAAGCCGATTTGATAGAAGGGAAGAAGGATCTTGGCAGCTTGTTGGCTCTATGGGGTGCAGAGGGTGTCCCAACATTAAAATGAAGTTCGGGAAGGAAGAGGAGAAACAAAGATCACTGGGAAAAAGAGGCCCCCAGAATCATGTGTGAAATCCGTGGTAGAGCATATTAGTTCCTCAAACTTCCTTGTGGTTACTAGGGATGCAGATGCACTGTCACGTATTCGGCCATTCATCAATATTTGGAAAATGAATTGATCATGCTTATGCTTCTTCAGAGAATATGAAGACTATTAACTCTGCTAAAGCAGCACAGAGAATACGGTTATTTTTACTATCAGTTTTCTGTGAGGACTCTTTCCTGAAGAAAAAAATAAAACTAAAAACAGAAAAGAAAAAATTGTGCCCTCTAGTGGTTCTTAAGTGCTATAGGTCGGAGAAAGAAGGATGAATTGCCCACACTCTCTAAAGATGTTTCATTATACATACGTGTTACCCTGTGCTCATGCAAAATGGTTTCTCCTATTCTCCGGTTTTGTCCTACACCTAGAATATCAACAGACTTAAGGTACTTGTCTTTGAGAGGAGGCAGTTGTTAATGTTTTCTGGACACATAGCTCATATGTGGTGATTCCCTCCCTCTCTCCCTTCCTCTGGCAACCTGGTTACAGAATCCTCACTTTTGTTGTTGTTGTTGTTGTTGTTGTTGTTGTTGTTTTGAGACAGACTCTTGCTCTGTCGCCCAGGCTGGAGTGCAGTGGTGCGATCTCGGCTCACTGCAACCGCCGCCTCCCAGGTTCAAGCAGTTCTCTGCCTCAGCTTCCAGAGTATCTTCTTCCTTCTTCTCTGTCTCTCTCTCTGTCTCGTTCTCTTTCTCTTCTTTCTCTTTCTCTTTTTTTTTTTTTGGAGACGAAGTCTTGCTCTTTTGCCCAGGCTGGAGAGCGATGGCATGATCACAGTTTACTGCATCCTCAGCCTTTTGGGCTCAAGCAATTCTCCCATTTCAGCCTCAAGAATAGCTGGGGCCACAGGCATGCACTACCACCCCCAGCTAATTTTTTGATTTTTACGTAGAGACAAGGTCTCGTTATGTTGTCCAGGCTGGTCTCAAACTCCTGGGCTCAAGCGATATACCCACCTCTCCTCCCAAGTGCTGAGATTACAGGCATAGCCACCGCATCTGGCCCTGTGATGAGTTATTTCTAGCTCACTATCCTAGATGCTATCATTCCAGGCATAATAAACACAAAATAATGGTCTTTGAATTTTCAGTAGAAATAGAAAGTTGGGGGAAAAGACATAGTGGGATAATAGATATTGTCAGACATCTATGACTATGGAACTTGGAACCCAACTACCTTCTTGTCATGTGCTCAGGGCAAACAGCCCTTGACCAGGGGCTCTCCACAACTATGCCCTAAATTCCAGAAAAGATGATTTCTGCATAAATAAACCAGCCAAGAGATATTTTCTAAATACAAAGACGATGCTTCTGGTGCCTACACTGTTCCCGTTCTTGTGTATCCTTGATGGAGCATCTGAAGAACAGCTGGTTATACAGCCTGCATTTCTTCCTGGGATGTGTATCTGTAGTCTGTTCTCTGGACATTTTCTCCATCTCAGCTTACTTGGTGCAAAAATGTATCACTTGTTCCCCGCAGCTTCTCTAAGGGTTAGGACCAACTGAAATTATTATCTAGTAACAGATAGTAGGTAAATCATATTCATTTTTGTATGATAAAAATTAATTGAACTCCTTTTATCATATCATATATTCTATCACATTTTAGCTTATCTAAACGTAGTTAAATTAAAATCATTTACTAGTGACTAAACATGGTTACCTTGATATGTCATTATTTCTTAGATCATTTAGGAAACAGATTAAATTCAGACATTATCTTCTTGATTTAAGGAGGGAAATGGGTCATTAGACTATCCCAACCCTACCATTCTGTATTCCTACTATCCTTCAGCATCACGAAGGGAATGATCTTTATAAATGGAAATCAGATTCACTCCTCTTCTACGTAACTAGCAAATGGCTTCCCTTGGAATAAAATTCAAACTCCCAGTTCTTCCCTCCTAGGCTCCCATCACCTGCCCCGCATCCGTCTGATGGTAGCCTGTGTGACAGTTTGCATGCTCCTGCACTGACCTGGCTTGTGTACCTTGCCTGGCTAAGCTCATCCTCTCTTCCTCCTGCCTGAGAATCTCCTCCACATTCTCATTTGTCTACTTTCTCTGTGTCTTCTCTTCAGTTCAAGCACCACCTCCCCACAGAGGCCTTTCTTGACTTCTAATCTAAGCGCTGTTTTATTCTCATCACAGCTATTCTCCATTGCATTATTTTTATTTTTATTTTTTTGAGACAGAGTCTCGCTGTGTCACCAGGCTGGAGTGCAGTGGCACGATCTCGGCTCACTGCAAGCTCCACCTCCCAGGTTCAAGTGATTCTCCTGCCTCAGCCTCCCAAGTAGCTGGGACTACAGGTGCGTGCCACCACACCTGGCTAATTTTTTGTATTTTTAGTAGAGATGGGGTTTCACCGTATTGGCCAGGATGGTCTTGATCTCCTGACCTTGTGATCTGCCCGCTTCAGCCTCCCGGAGTGCTAGGATTACAGACATGAGCCATCATGCCCGGCTGCATTTTTTTGTTATTGTTTCTTTGTCTGTCTTTCCCCATTAACGTTCTACGAAAACAGTCTGCTTTGTTTACCTCTGTACCTATAGGACTTCGAAGAAATGACTGGCATATAGTACATTTTTCCATAAGTGTTCATTGAGTGACCGTAAACAAACGAGTGGATGAAAGCAGCACCGAAGAAGGCAAGTTGATGCAAAAATCTGAATTTTGCAGCTGTGAATGGAAACTCTGGATTGAAGATATATTTGGAAATCCCAGCGGCATCAAGCACTCTATCACTTGAGAAAATCCCACCCAGAGGACAAGAAGTATATTTTGAAAATGACTTTAAGGTTTCCATAAAATAAGCAGCGTGGTTGGGACTGATGGTTTTTCTCGCTGCTGTTACTGCCCTCACGGGGGGGATGTGTTTCCTTTCCTTTGTTGCTTTATTTTTCTGTCTTCATGGTTGCCGACTGAGCTCACTGCTCCCTTTGTGCACCATCCATTCATTCTCTTGCGGCTCCCTTGCGTGCCGTTATGATTGCTCGAGGATCATGGAACATGCTCTTCTTACTGGGCCTCGTTCCTAATGTAGATGCTGTGTGCATGCATCAAGGGCCGAAGGGACTAGGTAAAATGTCTGCCTTCATCTAAAGAAAAATCGGCTAGAGTAAAAATAAAGGGCTTATTTACAGGAAGTAAATGCACTTTTCTGGGCAGTGGGAATTCTTACAGCCCGCTGTATTAGAAAACTATGGGCTGAAAAAAATTCTGTGAGATACTGCAGTGCCCACTCCCCCATTAGCCTTCAAAGGCCTTGTGGAAAAAGTGTAAAGGCTTCTAACCAACATGCGTGCCACTTCTGTTGCTTGCTGGATTTATCTGCTATTTTTTTTTTTTTTTTTTTTCCTGAGACAAAGTATCCCTTCCTCCTTTAAAAATTCTGAACAAGACTCACCTGACGCATTGAATGCTTATCTAATTTAAATAATCTGAAACCAGTGGCACTTTTTTCTGTTTTATCTGTAGGCAGGTGGATGGCTATACCAGTGATGCTGTTGTGGTGTAAATCCTGTCTACTAAACAAAGCCTTAATTATCCCGTCCATCTGTGAAATGCCAACAATGCTCATTAGTCTCTGCGTATGGTTTCTGAATTACGTATTCACCTTGAAGGCTCACACAGGCAGAAAGCTGTGTTTCTTATTTACTCCCTGACACCAAGTACTTGGCAATTCACACTTGCTGAATGACAAATGATGTGTCCCAGCTCCTGTCATTGCTGTCCCTACTTGACATTTCAACCTGCTGCATGTCTCTTTGATTTTCTCAATCTTCCTTTTTGGATGGATCCCCTATCACGTTGCCTTCCTCTGTTTCTTGGGACAATTCCATGTTTCAAGTCTTCTCATCAAACTCTGAACAAAAAGCCATCTT